AAAATGATGCCAAAAATTGGCCATTTTCACGTGGAATTAAACCCATCACCCAGATTTTAGCCACCGATATGACTTATATGGTCGGAAAGAGAAAACCCTTATGTATTATTAAGAAAAGTATAAAGAAAATCCTAACACTGAGATTATCACAATAGCGCGTCGCGCGAGGCATAGCTACAGCACCCCCAGAACGCATACAAGGCAAAACTAGGTCGAAACCGAAGCACCGCGCTCAGGGCGGAAGGACACCCGGAAGTAAGCCTCGGGCCCGAAATCAATTTTCACCCAAAGCACGCCACTTCTTACACTTTCCAGCCATGTTAGTAGTTAATCCCATTTTGCAGCAGATTATGAGAAATGTAAACTCAAACATGAACCACCGGAACCCCTTCGTCACTTTTTTTCCGGGCACTACAGTGGACCCCTGTCGCGGAAGAATTGGTGTGTGCACCGTTAATTAATCAAAATCTTAATTAATATTGTCTTTGGGTAGAAGACGTTTTGTTCTATTCATTATGCCAAGTTTGGGTTGTGGGCGGTATTTCCTTCTTGAGTAACAGGTGGTTGAAAGTTACCGCCCCCGAAGGCTGATTTTGCGCCTCCCGCCATGTTTACCATTCAGTGCACATAATGAATCTGACGTCACAATGATCGCATCCTCTCGAAGCGGTTTTTGTTATTAATTCAAGCTCAATGAACAAGTCTTGCCATGGAAAAGATAGGTACAGGGATGCTCTTGCGCAAGAGTTGACTTTCCGTCCATTTCTGGCTGGTATAGGTGGTATAAACCGCCTAGAACGTATTTGAGCTGGTGACGTCACAATGCCCGCCCCTGGCTGATCGTTCCAAGTGAGAACGATTGCGTTTTAAGTTCGGCGCTTCAACGGAAAGCAGATAAAATTGCTATTTTCAGTCATAGCTGGTAGAGAATAAACCTGGCATTCCTGTCCAAGCTTGTCCGCTCCCGAGATATAGTTTGTTGTGCAGGAAAACCCAGCTAAATGTTGAATCATTGGTAGAAACGGAGACCTGGTCCGTACTTCTGGCGACTACGGAGGTATAAATGGGCATTTACTGAGAGAAGGCTGTACACTTGGGTGTCGGTCTCGGTGAGATATAAAAGCCTTAGATTGTGTCTTCTCAATAGTGCAACTTATTTGTCTGAACATTCAAAACTAGTTCGAGCACGAACTGGAAACTTGATTTGGGAGGAAAGCCAAGAGTGACGTCATCAGAGGCCCTTTTTACTAGAAAACAGTCTCCTTCTCAATGCGGGAGTCGCTTTCAATCGTACAAATGCAATTTCCAGGTGCACCTGATGCAGACCAGTACAGAAAAACTATATTACGGTTAATATGACGTCAGTAATGTTTAGCATACACACTTCGAAGGCCATGTGACTGTGTTCGGGGGG